TGGCTTTCCTGCCAGTTCTCTGTCCACTGGACTTCCGCAGGAAGTTCTTCAACCCTATGTAGTCCCCTCTTTTATAGTCAGGCTTTTCCCATTCAACTCCTGTTATTCTCTCCACTTACAGCTCTACTATGTATTCAAAGCACAGAACCACGGGGTTTCGCTAGCTCCTAGGGGACTCTCATACTTGATGTCCTCAATATCTGAGCTGCCAAGGGTGAAACAAGGTCCAATCTTGCTGGTTCATCCTCCCCTCTCACTCTGGTAGTGTCCTTAACATGTTGGTGCATGAGGTTTTCCAGCACCACGTCCAACATCCTGGCTCTCCATGTTTCGGGACCCCCATGTGGCTCCAGGTTTTCCCAGTCAATCTCCCTGTGGTTGAAATCCCCCATAACCAGCAACTTTGCTCTGCTGGGTGAGCTCTTCTTGCCACCTCAGCAAGTGTGTCCACCATTGCTCTGTTGCTCTCTTCATATTCCTCTCTTGGCCTCCTGCAGTTCTGTGGTGGATTATACATCACTGCAATGACCACTGTGTTCCTCAGACTGAAGTGTACCTGCTATGTAGTCTCTTTCTCCCGTCTCATCTATTCCTTCCATTTTCTCGAATTTCCATCTGTTTTTTACGAGCAGAGCAACCCCACCTCCCCCCTGCCCCTTCTATCTTTCCTCATGATCTGGTATCCTAGTTGGAAGATTGCATCTGTTATTGTCTCCATGAGTTTTGTTTCTGTAACTGGTATGATGTCTGGGGACTTCTCATTGATTCTTTCTTGCCATTCCTCATGTTTATTCGTTAATCCATCTGCATTTGTGTACCAAACCTTCAACTTCTGTTCTAATACTGTAACTGTGGTGCACGGAGTGGAAACAGAGGGATCGGTGTGTGATGGTTGGTTTGGATTGTTCAGTTGCCTTGGGGGTGTCATGGCTGGAGTCCTTCTGCAGGTGTTTCTGGGGGGTGCGCTTGTCCTTCCATTTGATCCTGGGTTATTCTGCTCTCCTTTTTCATTTCCCCCCATTTCTCCTTTCGTTTTTGAACTCTCTCTTTCATTGTCTTCCTTTCGTCCTGTGTTCTGTCTCGATCGAGGTACACACTCCGGAACTCCTGCTTGCCTCTCAGCCGTGCTTTCTCCTGCAGGATCATGGTTCGGGTTGATTCTGCCTTGAAAATTACTTTGAGAGGCCGTTTCCCTTTTTTCTTTGTGAACCACCCAATTCTCCGAAAATTTGCCACCTGGGTCATGTCCCCCTCGCCTATCACCTTCATGATATCTTCAATCGCTTTTTTTCTCCTCCTGCTTTCTTTCATCATAAGTTTCCCCTTTAGCTTCGTCTAGCCCATAGACAAACACGGATCTTTCCCTTTCCACCTCCCACTGTGACTCCCATTGCATCTTCTGATGTGTTTTAGTTCCTTCCCGTGGAATGTTCCTTCCTTCAGTCCCTTCCCTAGTTATGGCCCCTATGCTTCTTGGTTTATCCTTCCTGCTCACCTGCTCCTGGCCCCCACAGGTATCTGGTAAGGTCCTTGCACATGTCCTAGTTCCTTCAATGTCTTCCAACCTCTCATTCTGTCCTAGTGTGCTCCCTGTCTTTGTTTTGGCCCCATGTGGGTTTGACAGGACCTCTGCATACAGTTTAGTTTCCATGCTTCCTTCAGACCTGTTGTCTGTGTTTGATGTAGCCATTGCCGATGCTACTTCTGTAATATCTTTGTCTCTGTGCTGTTTCAGATGTCTCAGCTCCTCTTCTAATCTATCTTGATTTCTGCTGCTGTGGCCTGTTGCTTCCACCTTCTGCATTCTGCTGCTAACATCTCTTCCATCTTCCTTTCCAGCTCATCTAGTCTCCTTCCCCAGTCTTCCTCCCTTTTTTTGAGCTCTACCTCCCATTCCTCCCTCCCAGATTCGTCCTTGGAGCCCCTTGTCCTCATCCTGGTTAGGGGGAGGGGAATAGATGGTTAGGAGAGGGGATGTATGGTTGTGGGGGAGGGGGAGGATGGTTATTGGAGGGGTAGAGATAGTTGGGGAGGGGGTTAGATGGTTTGGGGGAGAGAGGGGATGGATGGTTATGGGGGAGGGGGAGGATGGTTATTGGAGGGAGGGAGGTAGTTGGGGGGTTAGACGTTTGGGGGAGGGGTTAGGTGGTTTGGGGGAGGGTAGGTGGCTAAGGTGAGGTGGTTAGGGGAGGGGGGGTACGTGTTTGTGTCAAGTGGTGGAGAGTGTGTGGGGTGTGTGTGTGTGTGTGTGTGTGTGTGTGTGTGTGTGTGGTGTCTGTGGTGTGTGTGTGTGTGTGTGTGTGTGGTGTGTGTGTGTGTGTGTGGTGTGTGTGTGTGTGGGGTATGTGGTGTGTGTGTGTGTGTGTGTGTGGTGTGTGTGTGTGTGTGTGTGTGTGTGTGTGGTGTGTGTGTGTGTGTGTGTGTGTGGTGTGTGGGTGTGTGTTGTGTGGTGTGTGGTGTGGTGTGTGTGTGTGGGGTGTGTATGTGGGGTGTGTGTGGTGTGTGTGGTGTGTGTGTGTGTGGTGTGTGTGTGTGTGGTGTGTGTGTGTGGTGTGTGTGTGTGGTGTATGTGGTGTGTGTGTGTGTTGTGTGTGTGTGTGTGTGTGTGTGTGTGTTTATGTATGTATATGTGTGTATGTGTGTGTATGTATGTGTGTGTGTGTGTGTGTGTGTGTGTACTCACCTAATTGTACTCACCTAATTGTGGTTGCAGGGTCGAGACTCAGCTCCTGGCCCCGCCTCTTCACTGATCGCTACTGGATCCTCTCTCTCTCTCTCTGCTTCCTGAGCTTTGTCATACCTCTTCTTAAAACTATGTAGGGGTTCCTGCCTCCACTACTTCACTTGCTAGGCTATTCCACTTGCTGACAACTCTATGACTGAAGAAATACTTCCTAACGTCCCTGTGACTCGTCTGAGTCTTCAGCTTTCAGTTGTGACCCCTTGTCCCTGTGTCCCCTCTCTGGAACATCCTATCTCTGTCCACCTTGTCTATTCCCCGCAGTATCTTGTATGTCGTTATCATGTCTCCCCTGACCCTTCTGTCCTCTAATGTCGTCAGTCCGATTTCCCTTAACCTTTCCTCGTACGACATTCCCTTGAGCTCTGGGACTAGCCTTGTTGCAAACCTTTGTACTTTCTCTAACTTCTTGACGTGCTTGACCAGGTGTGGGTTCCAGACTGGTGCTGCATACTACAGTATGGGCCTAACATACACAGTGTACAGTGTCTTGAACGATTCCTTATTAAGGTATCGGAACGCTATTCTCAGGTTTGCCAGGCGCCCGTATGCTGCAGGGGTTATTTGGTTGATGTGTGCCTCCGGTGATGTGCTCGGTGTTATGGTCACCCCAAGGTCTTTCTCCCTGAGTGAGGTCTGTAGTCTTTGTCCACCTAGCCTATACTCGTCTGCGGTATTCTTTGCCCCTCCCCAATCTTCATGACTTTGCATTTGGCTGGATTAAATTCGAGAAGCCAGTTGCTGGACCACATGTCCAGCCTGTCCAGGTCTCTTTGCAGTCCTGCCTCATCCTCGTCCAATTTAATTCTTCTCATCAACTTCACGTCATCTGCGAACAGGGACACTTCAGAGTCTATTCCTTCCATCATGTCGTTCACATATATCAAAAATAGCACTGGTCCTAGAACTGACCCCTGTGGGACCCCGCTCGTAACAGGCGCCCACTGTGATACCTCTTCACGTACCATGACTCGTTGCTGCCTCCCTGTCAGGTATTCCCTTATCCATTGCAGTGCCCTCCCTTTTACGTGCGCCTGATCCTCCAGCTTCTGTGTGTGTGTGTGAGTGTCTACCCTTGTGTGTGTGTGCTTGTGTGTGAGGGAGGGAGGGTTAGGGGGGGTAGGTTGTGTGGTTGAAAAATCCGTCATGTAGGCACAAATTTAGTCTCATGTATCTTTCCCAATTATCTACTCTCTCCACTTATTGCCCTTTCTGGATTTACGTATTAATTGTTGCTGGTTATTATCATTTTCCTTGTTCACATTGAGAGAGGATTTCCAAGCTTTCTAAGTATTCTTACTGCTAATAACTACCGGTAGTAACACTACCTGTGTGCGTGTGTGCATGTGTGTGTGTGTGTGTGTGTGTGTGGTGAGAGTGTGTGTGTGTGTGTGTGTGTGTGTGTGTGTGTGTGTGTGTGTGTGTGAGAGTCTTGTGCGGTGTAATGACTGGCCGCAACTTCTTGTGACCTGACACAACCCTCCTGGGACCTGACCCTAGCACCGTCTTACAATGTTGCCCTTAAAAGCTTGTCCCACCTATCTTCTCACACTCGTCAACACTATATTCTCTATGTCTATGCTATTTCTATTCTAATTCTGGTAATAGCTTGCAGGAGTGAGTGACCAGTATCAAACAGTATGCAAGGCCAGCCAGGGCCGTGAACATGCAAACCACAAATAGGCGAATAAACTTGCGGTGACAGTTGCCAGCTGCTGATGACGAAGTCGTCGTACGTAGGCCTTAAATCCCTATTTTGGAGATCCTTCACCCGTGATGATTATAACCATATATTCTCATACATTCCGCTTCCTCATGCGATTTCACTCTTCACTGATGATAGTATACACTTCACATTATATACACTTCACTTTATATGTATAATGGCACGCAACTTGTCGTGACGACACTTCTTCAGGCCTACCGCTACCAATGTGGCAACAGCACCTAAGACCTCCAACGGTTTGCGCTTTGAAATATTATGATTTCAGCTTTCCTCTCACTTTCTTTAGCTAATAACTTTAATTATCACTCGTAGTATTGTTCACTGATGTTCCACTACCACTGATTACTGCTAACTGTTATTGCACGCCATACAACGCTAAGGATCTCGGAACCTTGTTACCCACGTCTTCACCCCACGGTGTGTGGTGTGTTTGGTGTGTGTGTGTGTGTGTGTGTGTGTGTGTGTGTGTGTGTGTGTGTGTGTGTGTGTGTGTGTGAATAAAGCAATGACTGTTGTAATAAGATTTGTTAATAATATAAATTTCAAGACATGATATATAAACTTGAGGTTCGGCCTTACATTGCAGATTGTCGCTGTTCGGGAGGTGAAGAGGAATCTAAGCGTAGAAGTAAGTAATGCTCTGACTACTTTTATCTATTATCTGTGTTATATCTATAAACTATCAAATTTTCCTTATCAACCAAGAGCTGTTAAATAATTTTTAAAGCATGTTAAATTAGGTATTTGCAGAAGAGTCATACATCAAACGTTATTACATATATTGTATACTAGAACATCCTGGTGTGGAATCATTTTTGATTCCCTCAACATTTCACTGCTTCTCTTTCTTCAGATTCAACGGACTTATGAGAATTGGTAAAAGGTGTCAAATTAAGAAACTAGTTTTAGCCTTTTCTTTCCCTTGTGATTATACTTTTCCTTGTTAAACAATTAACTGAATATTTTTTTTTCATTTCATGTCAATTAATCATCAATCTATAGTGCAACTCATCAAATTAATGTTATCCGTAGTGGCTCTAAGTTGCGAGAGACCATTCGTATTCCTGCACGGTCACTGTATCTTGGTGGAGTCACAGAAAACGGGCAACTGGAATGAAATGAAAACATTCTGCAACCACAAAGGCACCGAGATGGTAAAGGTGGACAGTGAGAACTTTATGTATTATCTTGTCAAGTACCTCCACGGGAACGGTGAGATCTTGTTCTAAAGTATTATTTTGTTCTTAAAGAATACTTTGATATATTATTATTATTATTATTACGCTAAAATGTAGGATTATACAGTGCCTGAGGGGGGATGTGGAAGATATTCAGGCTAAATTCAGGGAACAGGAGCACAGATTCAATTCCGTAGATCAAGAGCCCCTCATGATCGTCAAGGAACCTTCCTGGAGGGGCCTTGATATATAATTCTCTGAAATAAAGGCAAAGAGGACAAAAGAGAGTGCAAAAATTATAGGGTAATAAGTCTGTTGAATGTACCTGGTAAAGTGTACGGTAGAGTTATTATTGAAAGAATTAAGAGTAAGATGGAGAGTAGGATAGCAGCTGAACAAGGAGGCTTTAGGATAGGTAGGGGGTGTGTTGACCAGGTGTTTACAGTGAAACATATAGGTGAACAGTATTTAGATAAGGCTAAAGAGGTTTTTGTGGCTGTTATGGATTTGGAAAAGGAGTATGACAGGGTGGATAGGGGGGCAATGTGGCAGATGTTGCAGGTGTATGGTATAGGAGGTAGGTTACTGAAAGCAGTGAAGAGTTTTTACGAGGATAGTAAAAGTAGGCCTTAGACAAGGATGTGTGATGTCACCGTGGTTGTTCAATATACATTTATAGATGTGAAGGGAATGCGAGGGTCTTGGCAAGAGGTGTGGAGTTAAAAGATAAAGAATATAACAAAGTAACAGCTGTCACAGTTGCTCTTTGCTGATGACACTGTGCTTTTGGGAAATTCTGAAGAGAAGTTGCAGAGGTTGGTTGATGAGTTTGGTAGGGTATGTAAAAGAAGAAAATTAGAAGTGAATATAAGAAAGAATAAGGTGATTAGGAAAAAAAAAACATTAGGTAACGAAAGATTGGATATCAGGTTGGAGGGAGAGAATATGCAGGAGGTGAATGTATTCAGATATTTAGGAGTGGACGTGTCAGCGGATGGGTCTATGAAGGATGAGGTGAATCATAGAATTGACGAGGGAAAAATGGTGAGTGGTGCACTTGGGAGTCTCTGGAGACAAAGAGCTGTCCTTGGAAGCAAAGAAGGGAATGTATGACAATATAGTTACATGGGTGTGAACCATGGGTTGTGAACGTTGCAACAAGAAGGCTGGAGGCAGTGGAGATGTCATGTCTGAGGACAATGTGAGGTGTGAGTATAATGCGGAGAACTGGTAGTCTGGAAATTAAGAGGAGGTGAGGGATTACCAAATCTATTATCCAGAGGGCTGAGGAGGGGTTGTTGAGGTGGTTCGGACATGTAGAGAGGCTGGGACAAAATAGAATGAGTTCGAGTGTATAAATCTGTAGTGGAGGGAAGGAAGAGTAGAGGGCAGCCTAGGAAAGGTTGGAGAGAGAGGGTAAAAGAGGTTTTGTGTGCGAGGAGCTTGGACTTTCAGCAAGCATGTGTGAGCGTGTTAGATAGGAGCGAAAGGAGACAAATGGGTTTTAGGACCTGACGAGCTGTTGGAGTGTGAGCAAAGTAACATTTATGAATGGATTCAGGAAAACCGGCAGGCCGGACTTGAGTCCTGGAGATGGGAAGTACAGTGCCTGCACTCTGAAGGAGGGGTGTTAATGTTGCAGTTTTATAACTGTTGTGTAAAGCTCCTCTCTGGCAAGACAGTGATGAATGATACTGAAAGTTTTTCTTTTTCGGGCCACCCTACTTTGGTGGGAGACGTCCGATGTGTTAATAAAAAACTGAGACACTAATAATGTATAGAAACCTCATTTATAGAGTTTACATGTTACTTTAGTGTCCTTTTTCTTTCAATTCGCCTTTTTTTCACAAATTGCTTTTTGATATATTTTTAACAGGCTTAGCTGTGGTGGATTATTGGGTCGGAGGATCAGATCAGGATAACGAGGGAACGTTCTTCTGGCCCGATGGTACCCGAGTCAAGATGGGAACACCGTTTTGGGGTGACGGTCCTGACGACCATATCCAGGAACCTGATGGAGGCGCCGGCCAGAACTGTATTGGAATGTGGAAAGACGATCATTATTTTCTCTTCGATTATAACTGTAATGACAGAATTGGAGTTATTTGTGAGAAAGTGTAACTTAAATAACAGTCACAATACCGTGACTGGAACAGTACACAAATAACCCGCACAAAGAAGAGAGGAGCTTATCACGACGGGTACTTCTTCCTTTATTATTTTCCCCCCTCTAGCTCCCTTGTGGGCCCCTAGTTCCTTTGTGGGCCCCTAGCTCCCTTGTGGGCCCCTAGCTCCCTTGTGGGCCCCTAGTTCCCTTGTGGGCCCCTAGCTCCCTTGCAGTGCTCCTCTTAATATCTGACTGACTCCACTACTTACTACTACTACTCCGTGATAAATGGTTTTGAAAACCGACAGCTTGAAGAACTGAGACACTTAAGCAACATATGGGAATCTTTATTGAAGAAATGTTTCGTCACACAGTGGCTTCATCAGTACAATACAAAGCAGGAAGGTATAAGGAGAGGAGGAGTTAAGGTAATCAGTCCCTCAGCCTGGAATCGATATGTTCTGTCCATCACTCTTGTAGAAGTGTGGCTTATATACTGCAGTCAAGTGAGTGGAAGCAGCAGGAGGCGTGATCATAGTAGGACCATCCACTAGTGTAATAATAATATTAATAATAATAATAATCTTTATTTACTACAAGTACATGTACATGGTATACAGTCCTAGCTGACAACAATGACATACTACTACATAGAAAGCCATTTGTTATGCTGATCATCTCGGGCAAATTAGGTCAGTGTCCCAGGATGCGACCCACACCAGTCGACTAACACCCAGGTACCCATTTTACTGATGGGGAACATAGACAACAGGGAATCGAACCCAGGCCCTCGCCGTGTGAAGCGAGAGCGTTAACCACATCCAAAGATTGGACAAGTGTTGAAGAATTCCTTATATCAAGATCCCATGATGTTGCAGTGTCTGACATGTGATAAATGGTTTTGAAAACCGACAGCTTAAAGAATTCACTGTTACTACTACCTCCACTACTACCTTTCTCGTCCCGTCCCTTTCTGCTGGTCTATATAATCTCCATCCTTCTCTCCTTTTCGTTAGTGTGACTTTGTAAATGGTCGAAGTAGGACCGAAACGTCGTCGTAAGCTCCTCTCTCTTATGTGCGGGTTGTTTGTGTAAAGTGTAACTTGTGTGAAATAATTCCTGCTTGTTGCCTCTCAAGCGAGGCTGTCGTGTTGTCTTTAGAATAATATATAATATATATATATATATATATATATATATATATATATATAATATATATATATCGTATATATATATAATCAATAAGACATGTTTGTTTCTCTTTGAGAAAAATTTATCATGTAAACAAAAGGTTGCCTGTCGCCCCTGACTGTACAATATAAATTATACATTTACCACTTAATCCACCTTAATAATGTAAGTGGTGTTATATTTGTTATGTAACTGTTATTTTAACTGTCTTCAGTCAAATTATCATCGATTATTTCAAGGAACAAGTGTTGAATTAAATATTGAGAATTAAACAATTCGATTTACAAAACACTGTTTAATGTTGTTTTTCTCTTCACAATGAATTATTAAGGAATTATTAACAATGGTTCATATAAAATATCAGTAATGTTTTAAATGTTTATACATTTTTGCTATGAATATCTTGTAGCTTGAACTGACGCATAATAATAATAATAATAATAATAATAATAATAATAATAATAATAATAATAATAATAATAATATATCTTTATTTTTTACAAGTACATGTACAAGGTATACAGACCATAGTTGACATCAATGACATACTACTATATAGAAAGTCAATTTTGTCCCAGGATGCGACCCATACCCATTTATCCATTTTACTGATGGATGAACATGGACATTTCCCCAAGGCCTTCACCCTTCCTCTTTCTTTATTAACTATCCCCACATTACCCTTCTCCCATTTCCTTTTAAACCAATAGTCCACATAATTACTTATCCCCTCAGTTGTCACCAACATTTGCCCCTTAGTATAACCTTCTAAATCGTCACTAACCTCTAAAAGTATTATAGTGGACTCCTGTTGTCTAATTCGAAAATTTCTTAACACACTACCCGACGGTTTATCTCCCCATAGTACGGCATCCATCCCCGCCCTAACCCTTATTTCATCAAATCTTTCATTATGTATTTCCTTTAATTTATCTCTTAACCCTGATATTTCTTCAAAAGTCTTCCCCTCCCCTCCTTATAACACTCATTTTAGCTGCTGTTCCCAAACAATTCTAAAATACCATACCCCATCCCTCGCCCCTCCCTCAATTTTACAGTTCATAAACCCCGCATTAACCAGTTTCAGCCCTGCATTTACTTCCACCAATGAAATACACTCCCTCCCATCCGCTTACCCTCCACAATTCTCCACTGTTTCTAACTCCACAATGTCCCATATAATCCTACCAACCTCGCAATAATCTTCCAAAAACGTGAATATTTCCTTTAACCCACTCCCCTCCCGTCCCTCACCAAAACCCGACCTTGCTAAGGACCCAACACCAACTCCCCTTTCCCCTCCCCTTTTTTACCCCCCTACCCTACTAAAAGTCTCCGTTAATAAATTTCCCATCTTAACCCTTTGAATATTCTCCCTAATAAAAGTGAAACTACTCCGAAGCCCCCCACTCCCCTCCACGTCCCTCACCCCTCTTCCTTTATACATTCGTAAGGACCCCTCACACAGCCCCCTTGGGCCCCTCCCCCCCTTTAAATCCTCCCCAATACCCAAATACACAAAAACTCTCTCACAAAGCCCTATTCTTTAATTTATTTCTTGGATATAAAGAAACATCCACTCGATATGCTCCCCAACCATCCTCCATCCACTACTCGTTTCACTTCTCCTCTCCTTCTTTACAGTTTAGTAATTTTTTAATGGTGGACTTTTTCCCTTCACACCACCTCCAACTCTGCCCCTTTTAACCTATTCAAATCCCCTATACCTACAATTTCCCAGAACTATTTTTAAAGCCAAACCTTCAGCCTATCTTGTCATTATGTTTCCTTTATCCAAGCATTTTCTCCAATTATTCTCCTGGAAAAACATTCCATTTCCATTTCCTCGTTTCACTTATTTCCTTCCCCCAAATTCCATTTTTTTGCCTATACAGTTACAACGTTGTGAATTATTTTAAAAGTAGTGAATCTCCTCTTCTGTGTTGGCACACACCCTCCCTTATCCTCCTGCCCCTTACTCGTCATTCAAGAAGGAGCTTGCTTAATTCCTCCCCCTATTTCCTGTTAGCCCACATTTAACCCTACATGTTGCCTTTCCCCTTTTTCTACCCTTGTGCATACTTCCTTTTTCCAATTGCCACTCCTTTCCTTTGTCCTGAAGCAAGGACATCGTGGCCAATTCCCCCAACGTCCCCCTCAGTTCGCTGATGTAAATCACTTCCCCTCCCCTACTCACCTGCTTTTTTTAGCTATGGACTCCGCCATACGTTCGCAACCATTATCATTATGCACAAGTCTTCCCGCCCTGATCTAGTTAGAGTTAGTTACCTGCTCCGGAACGCCCTTCATACTTAGAATGCCTGCCTCAACGTCATTCAAAAGGAGCTTAGTTTCCTCCAGCAAGGCCATCTTTGGGCCCTCCCATCTCACTTTTCGTCGATTTTCCTTCTTTATAACCGTAGCCATCACATCATGCCTTGCCTCGGCCTTTCGTACTTCACACTCCATACGGCAAAGGAGGCTTCTTTGGCCTTACTCCTTTTCCCCGAAACGCCACTAGCATTGCGTGAATGTTTTAAGATCCTGCACACCATTTTTTCCCCATAATTCTTCGTTTTTTTTTTATAGATTGGGCCCGCATCTTGTTCCCGAAGATCCACACTAATTCCGCAAACCGTGTTGCCCAGTAGACCAGTAGACCGAGTCGGAAGACCACCCGAAAACGTGATAGAACGCTCAACGTCATTCAGGAAACTACTGCCGCAGTGCCCCTCCGAAGGTACAGTTTTGCCACATTACCATACACTGAGTGGTTTTTCCATTGTGCTTTAAAACACCCCCCATAACATCACCGCTCTGTATGCCTCATTAAGCCCCAACGTCTACTTTCACCCACTCAACTGGGCTGGGGGACGTTAACCTTTAACAACACCCTCCATGGTTCAGTATCTTTTACTGATATTTAAAATTGGGACTATGCTTGCGACGTCCGCTTCACTAATAAATCACACACCACTCTAACTCCATATAATTTTCGTTTTTACATCCATATGCCTCACTGATGATTGGCAGCCAGTAACACTTGCATTGTTTGTTCCGAAAGCGTGACTACGCACTATATTCCACACAAACTGTTTCCGCGAACAATTCGATCCGCATGTTTGTATGCAATAAACAGAAAACTGCCAGAAACAGTGATTGAGCTACTAGGCACTGTCCAACGGCCGAGAGCAATGTGTGGACAATGATTGCTCCCAAAATTACCTACACTTGGACCGGTTGTTCGCTGTGCTTGTAACACATGTTTTTCTCCCCATACACCTACAGCATTCTGTAGATTTTTCACTGCATTAAGCCCTGAACCACTGCAGACCCGGTCAAAAAAAACTGGGCCGTGGGGGCGTTGACCCTACAACACCTCCAGTATAGTAATTTAATAACTATCTTTATTAAACTTAGGAATGAGTTTCCGCTAGTCGTCCCACTACACCAACCCCTCATAATCCTCGTATTGTTTTTACCTTCCACCATCTCTCAATAACCTCACTACCGCTTTCCTCGTCTTCTGTGAACATGTTTCAATTTATCAGAAATATCTGTGAATAGACCTCACTTGGTGGGGTATATCCACTCTGTTCTTTCAAGAAGTTTAAATCTTCAATCAAGCATAAATAGATGATCCCCTTTTCTCCCAAAAGATAATTAAAGGTTCTGCAACACTACTTTGAATAATTTTAGTAATTTTAAATTTTATTTATAGTATATTAATTGTTATGCTAAATGTATCTCTTTAGATATTCTTTACTATACATTGTTGCATTTAGGTATCCAATTAAGTTATGTTGCCAAACTATCTGCTCTCAGTCCAATACTTTTAAATTACAGAACAGGATTTGGTTTGTAAAGGGGAAATTTTTTGACAAATTCTTAAGAAAAAACAAATTCGGCCTTTGTAAAAAATTACAAAAAGAAATGAACTAACAAACTTCCTTCATGATGGAAACATTACAGAGTCTGACTGATATTAGTGACCAATTTCTTACTACGTTAGTGTATGTTATTATGTCATTATTGAACTAATCCCTGTACTATCACCTCCTAGATAGTATTTACTACCTCACTATCCTATGTGTCCCATACAGTTCTTTGTGTGACCCATTTTGTGTTATCTTCCCAGATTCCCTATTCACAAATTATTATTTGTTAATAGGATACTTACACTTTATTAATATCTGTATTACCCTTTTCTTTCCTAGTTAAGCCCTGTTAAAATTCTCTAATAATCATACCAAATTTTCCCTTTCTCCCAAATACAAATAATTAACTAGTGTATGTTCCTACTACACTACTGTGCAATTCCTTTACCATCCCTCACTAGCTAGTACCAACTACCTTAAATAATATTCCTATAGTCATATTAACTGCTCAGACGTTATGCTATAAGGTAAATCCTACTCTTAGATTATTTTCATATCTTAGTGACTATATTGTGTGTGCAATTAGTGTATATTTCAATTATATTATTGTTCAAGGCCCTAAACTATCTTTTGCTAACTAGTACCAACTACCTCCTATTAAATTAGACACATGTACAACTCTTGGGTATCTTTATTGAGGAAACGTTTCGCCACACAGTGGCTTCATCAGTCCATACAAAGGAGAATCTTGAAGAACAGGAGGAGAATGAGGTAATCAGTCCCTCAACCTTGAGTCGATGTGGTCAGTCCATCAATCGACTCAAGGTTGAGGGACTGATTACGTCATTCTCCTCCTGTTCTTCAAGATTCTCCTTTGTATGGACTGATGAAGCCACTGTGTGGCGAAACGTTTCCTCAATAAAGATACCCAAGAGTTGTACATGTGTCTAATTTATCAACATGTCGGTTCTCTGAACCATTCATCTACAATACCTCCTATTATTTTTTTTATTACTTTGTAAAATACAGTAAATTGCTCATCTTATTATATATAACAAATCAGATCTTACTCCCAAATCAATATTATATCTTAGTGA